TTTGTCATTGTCTCTTGTTTTTGCTTCAAACAACAGTTTTTGAAGCATAGAACTAAAGATAAAAATTCTAGACTCAAGAACAATCTGTTCAGATATTTTATAATTGGAAAAAAATAGTTTTATTGTCAGGAAAAAATATGAAAAAATTAGATGAAAACACAATTGAACGAGGGAAAATATTATAAAAGTTAGGCACTTCATCATTCACACGCGCCGTGTCACGTGACATCCAGTATTTTATTTCCGGTGGGGACGTGTTCCAGTCGAAAAGATGGCCAAAATATGAAAATGTGATGATACTGATGATGATGATGTTGGTGAGTGGTAATGATAATGATGAAGATGTTGAGGACGACACACACGCACACACACGCACGCACACACACGCACGCACGCACATTTAAGTATCCATATTTACTTGCTTCTTGCGTAAGTATATTTATTTGATTAGAGTCCGGTACGGTTCTCTAATTTAGTCTCTTTCACTCTCTCTCTCTCCCTCTTTCTTTCTCTCTTTTTTCACTTTCATTATACACTTCATTTCATTTTCTATATTTTATGACTTTATTCTCCCTCTCTCTCTCTTATCTCTCTTTCTCTTTTCTCTCTTTTTCTCTCTACTGCTTATGTTGGAGTTGGTAGTTGGTGTTTGATGAAATGATGTGATGAGAAGGGAAGAAATGAATGATATTTTATAATTACGAGCGAGGACCTGTCTGTTATATTGCGAACGAGATCTCAAAAATTCATCACGTGAGTGAGGTGAAAGTGACGTCGCTGATGAGTGGAATGGCGAAAATGACGTCAGATTTAATGGTAAGAGTGGCAAGTCCTTAGTTGCTATCACCTGGTTCGATAGCAGAGTGATCTTAATTTATGGCTAGCGAAATTCAAAAACACGTTTTGATGTGTGTGTGTCTCTTTTCAATGCCCTTGAGATTAATAAAAGAGAAGTATCTACAATTAAGTTAAAGACTATGATGACAACAATGATGATGACGATGATGACGACGATGATGACGCTGTTTGAAAAATCGGTGACGTCACGAACGTTACTTGTCACGGGCGGGAAAATTATTATTTTTTTTTCATTATTTTAAAAATGCGACCATATATTTAGCATTATATGAAAAAAATACATGAAAAGAATAATAAAACCCCAAAATACAAACATACATAAACGAAGTTAATACACACACGTACATACGAGCATACACACACACACACACTCACGTACTCACAAAAAACATACACGTACGCATACACGCATGTGAACGACACGCACCAGTATACATTAATTATCTGATTGATGTACAAATATATCATTACAAATGAGATTTTATTTTTACGGGTAACAAAATTTTACTCCGTTTTTGTTCTTCTCTCTTTTCATCTCTCTCTCTCTCTCCAATCTTTCCTTCTCTCACTCTCTTTTTTATCTCTTTTTCTATTTTTTCTCACTTGTTTTGCTTTAACATAAGCGTTATAAAAATCCATATAATCTATATCACGCATTATATATATATATATATATATATATATATATATATATATTTTTTACAATATTCTAGAATATTGTAAAAATTATGGTCTATTACCAACATATATATATATATATATATATATATATATATATATATATATATATATATATATGTGTGGGTGTTTTTTTTATGTATGTGTGTATGTATGTATTTAATTTATTCATTGTAACTCTTTAATTTAAAATGTTTCCATGAGTGAACAATATAACGCTCCATATATCTTACGTTCGTCTTATCCTTACAAACGCGGTCTATAAATAAATTTATTTGTATGTGGACGTATGTATGTATGTATGTGTGTGTGTGTGTGTATGTATGTATGTATATATGTATGTATGTATATATGTATGTATGTATGTATGTGTGTGTGTGTGTGTGTGTGTGTGTATGTATGTATGTATATATGTATGCATCTATGTATGTATGTATGCATACATACGTGCATGCATGTATATATGTATGTATGTATGCACATTTAAGAGAAAGTAAGTATATGTTACGGAGAAGATAAGCGCGCGACCAGTCGGTAGTATTGTGTGATGGTGGATTCTTATGTAATTGCATTGCCAAGCTACCATACATACAAACATACCAGCGATGTTTGGGGTTCGATCGTTCGTGTATTGTTTTTATAAGGTTTGTTTGTTTATGTATTGTAAATATATATACACACATACAAACACACACACACTCATATATATTTATATATATAGAGACGCGTGTAGATTACACATGCACCATAGACGCATACATTTTTATAAGAAACGGTTTCAATTATTTCAGTTCTGTCTGTGCATGTTTGGTTCTGGCGTATTAATTTATATTTATATGTGGACGGGACGCTTATATATTACGGAATTATGCTTGTGTGAGCGTGAAAATGTATAACTTGGTCATGGAAATCTCAAAGTTTTTGATATATAGTATCTTGGATCGACCGAATAATCATTGTGTGTTACTGAACACTCCCTATAGTTCGATTTTAGAATGTGGCAGTCCTTTACATGATTCAAGTAGTAAACAATCTTCTGAGCTTAAAAATGTATAATTTGGCAATGAAAATCTCGTCCTTTTGATAAATAGAATCTCGAATCGATGGAATAGTAGGCTATCATTGAGTGTAACTGACCCAGCGATATTTTTAGAATTTGACGCTGATATAGAAACTTGAGCTGGTAGTTTTTTCCCAGGTTTATGCAGTGGCGGATCTATGATGGCCAGACAGGGCGGGCCATGTTCCTCCAGTTTTGAACAATATTAAAAAAATTCAGTGAAACTC